GTCCTTAAAGAATTTAGGAGTTCATTCCGAAGTCTGTTCTGTGCCAATTTCTTGTATTTCCAAAGAAAATCCATCAAATTAAATGGATTTCTTTTACTTCTCTACTCTCCGCCTCTCTTCTCCAAAATTTGATCACCATAATCTTGGAAATTTAATACAACTTTTAAAACCTGCCAAAACTCCAATCCAAAAACATTTCGGAGTCATGTTAATGCTTCTCGGATCCACAAAAGATGAATAAATCATTCGAAATCTCTTGAGTTTCTCTTTTCAATCGTTTTTCGTAGACATTTTGCATAAATGGAGGCCCCGAAAGAAAGAAAAAAACCCTCGCCTATCCACCCAAAAATCTACAGTTTACTTAGTGGCTCTTCCTCTCTCCCTACCTCTCTCTCTCGCTCTCTCTCTCTCTGTCTCTGCTAGAGCTCTCTCCCCCTGGAAGTCTCTTATCAGTCCGTTTGTCAGTGTTTTTTCAAAACAAAGTCCATTTCCATTCCGATTCCCATTGTTGGTCACTTTCGTGTCGTGTGTTTCGCGACTCTACTGTACAGTAGAGACATCATTTAAAATGCCATTATCTAATCGTTGCTTTATGGCCCTCTGAGAGAGTGTATCTGTGTGTGTGTTGGGTGTTCGGTGTGTTTGTGTGCGTTTTAGGAGGGGGGCATTTATTTTTCTGCCTTGGCGATAAGCCTAAGTGTAGCATTTTGTTAGTTTCCTCTACACCCTATGAATAGAGGGTACTATGGACATTATTATGAACAGAAGCTACCCATCTTTAAGGGGAAAACCTCTAGATAATTCCCTCAAAACTCTAGCAATGGTAAAGACAATCAATCATTAAGGGTATCCCCAACTTCGATTTCTGCCAAGTCTATATTTTGTATGTTTAAATTTTTATTAAATTATGGAAGAGAAAGAAACTATAAAATGTGGCAATATTTGAGGTGTTCTTTATTTTAGTCGTAACTTTTTCTTTTTTGTTTTGTACAGAGTAAAACTGGTTTAACCTGTCCGAAAAAAAAAAAAACACATACAAAAATTGCTGACGGCCAAGTTAATAGCGAACAAAACAACAAAAAGAAACCTAGCAAACAATAAACTAATTAAATCAAGCGTTCAAAAATACGTCGCAAAATCATCAAGAGAACACCGCTAGTCGTGTATTTGTTGGTGGTCTTCTTTCTTGTAAAAATAGCTGATATTTGAGCGGAGATTTCATTGAGAATCTAAATAAAAAGTGTTCTCAAAATAAATACGTTTCAATATCATATGCAAAGATCGCAGGAAAACGAAAATATAACAATAACACACTCGACACACTGGACACGCTCGTGTGACAAATGTATCTGTGAGATACGCGCAAGAAAGAAACCTTTCGTTGGATCGCCAGACACAGACGCAGACGTAGCCGTAGTCGGAGAACCTCAGGCCCCGAGACTGTTTTACGATACTCTCGTATTCTCGTATTTGTTTTTGTATTAGCAAAAGAATTCTAACTGAAACTCAACGAAACGAAGCTACGGAGCGACGAACGGAACGACTCGACTCGACTCTCGACTTCTACTCACGTTTTCTTATGTAATAGAGGCCGATCCGCCCCGTCCCGTGCCGTCCCGTCCCGCCTATGACGATGGCCTGGCCTGCACTTCTATTGAATACGAATACGATTCGTCGTCCGTTGATAAGCCTCTTGCCAAAGCAAATTGATTATGACAAAAAGTTGGGAAATGGTTAGATTCTAAGGGAAACGTTGCCGCAACAGACATTGAAGGAGAATTGCAGCCGTTGCTGAATTTATCAAGAAATTACACAAGATCTGTATATCTGTATATCATTTACACGTGTAATTGTTATTAGCCTGAACATTGTGTAAATGTTGTCTGATGTTGTCCGATCTTAAGATCAGTTCTAAGGGATAGATTCCCTTCATTTTCCAGTAAATATATCACCCCATTTAATAGATATTCCATCCCCAAACGTATTTTCCTTATTTTTCTATATTTTCTTTACCTTTTTAGAGTAATTATTTAGATCCAAAGAACAGTAATAATCCCATAGATTATAAATCTATGAATAAATGCGTTAATCCTTTAAATTTTATTTAGTTTTAGGCTGCATTTTATACAAGATTGAATTGATTTTTGCACATTTATTTGCACTATTTTTTGCGGATTATTTATCAGGCGTTTTCCAACACTTTTTTTCAGGCAACTGGTGGCCTTTTAACAACTGTAATTTTTTTATATTTTGTATACAACTCGCAAAAGTGAAACCGTTGTGTGTATAAATATATTATTTCTTGATTTTTTTCTGGTTTTTTAAATATATTTTTTCAATGATTTTTGCAAGGCTATATTTTATTTATGGTTTTTTATTTGTATTTATTTTTTATTTGCACAAAATATGGGGTATATATATATATACGGTATATAGATCATTATCTTGCGGGGGAAATTATATAGTATTTTATCTGAGAAACTGTGGGTGTAAAAAAACTATTAATATTTTGTTGTATTTATTTCGAATATTTCCATAAATTAAAATTCACATTTGAGCGGAACGGCATGGAAACGAAACAAAATATAAATAACGAACGAATGACGAACGAACGGAGGAAACAGACGACAGCGAAACTGGCGATTACGAAACCCGAACGCGACAAAAGAGAGCGCCGCCAAAAGAGAGGCAGCAAAGAGAGTGGAGCGCCACTGGAACGTTGGGGCGGTGGAACGTCCGCCACACAAGAAATTCCGCAACAAAATCGAAGAAAATAGTACTCTAGATTTTTGGAATAAACTCAAATCAAAAACTCAAATAAATATCTACGAATTTGGAGGAAGTTTGTTTAATTATTCATAATTTCTAGTTATTTCAAAGATACTTCTCAAAAGTATCTGCTCTTCAAAGGAAACAACACGCACTCACACACACACACAAACACACACGCGCACTTTGCTTTGCTTTTCTTTTTTTTGTGGGCTGCGCCAACTTTTTTCCTTTGCTACGAAACGCACTTTCAAGATACTTTTGTATCTTTTAGTCGACTTTTAGTTATTATTCAGAAAAGATAAATAATGTTGGAGACAGAGTGAGAGTGGGAGAGAGAGAGCGCGACGCGGGGGCCAACACCGCACGGCACAAGACACGTCGACAATGGAGCACTCTTCTCCGCGGCCCAGCGATTTATAAACACATTTCAGAAATATTGCATTTTACAATTCGATTGCACTCTTAGCTTGTACCGTAGATTTATCTTTTTCTTAGAATCAACAATACCCGCATTGCCGCCGAACCGAAATCGAGATCCAAAGAAATATACGTTATCCAAAGATTGTACTTGGGGTTTTGTTCGACGACGGACGAGGCAACGCAACGCAGCAACCGCTCGATTCAGAAGTTGAAAAAAGTTTGGGGCCACAGTAGCCGTACAATCCAACGCGACGCAAAAATGAGCAGCGCTCTCTCCGGCTCTGGCTTTGTTTCGTTTCTCTTCGTTTCGCTCAACATCACATGAGTCTGTAACTTCGTCGGTTGTTTCTGTGCAAACGAAGCAACGCTCTCATGTTAAAGCAACAGAAAACTGTTAACTAGAGTAGGAAACTCTGTTAAGTTCGAATTAGAGGACGCAGAGGAATGTTAACAGCAGCTGTGTGACGTAGTACTTTACAGTGGAGCTCTCTCTTCTGGCTTTCGGCTCTCTTTGCCACTGCTATCATATATATTCTATATCTTTACTCCAGCGCCTTGATGGCCTCCAATCAGAGCGGGATGACTAGATGGTTGGCGCTTTTGAAGAGAGAGACTGATGGAACTGCCGGCATTTTCGCTTGGTCTCCAGCACTCACTGTTTTTGTTGTGTCTTTGCAGAAATTTAATGGCGGCTTCTTGAAAAACAAAAACACGCAAAGTCCATGGAACAAGGCGGGTAAAAACAACCAAGAAAGGTTGAAAAATCCCAATCAGGAAGTGGGAAAAACTGCGGAAATTGCATTTCAATTGATGAAAGCTTCTCAGAAGATGTTGAATATTTAAATAGGTGGAAAACTTCAGAAACTAGAAATCCTAAGAAACTGAGTAAAAATATTCAAAATGTTGGAAAACATGACAAAGATTCTATTAAATGGAATTAAATTATACAAAATTGATGAAATCTCCCGAAATCGCTTAAAATATCTAAAAAAATGTCCGCCATAAAAAATAAAAACAACATCAAAACACAACGAACACACAACAAAAACAAAATTGCGATGACGAAACACATGTTGTGTTTTCGACTCGAAACCTAAGAGAGAGCGAGAGAGAGAGAGAGAGAGAGAGTCCCGAAGAGAGCTACGAAGAGAATGAGAGTGCTGGCACTCTCTTTTGTTGCCTTGTAGTCGTCGAACCGCACGCAAAACAAAATTAAGCACAAAAATAAACAGCAAAAAGACACAGAAGAAACACAAAAAAGCGATGGAAAAGCTCTCTTGGAACGTCGTCGTCTACGTCTACGTCGCCTTCAATTTCAATAGCAGCACCAGCCAGAGCACTAGAGAGCACCACACACACACACACACACACTTGCATACAATATAGCCACCTCTGACGCTACAGATTGTATATATATATATAGGTATCTACTGTATATATGTATTTGCAGCTATTTAGCTACTTTTTATGGCAATTTGTGTTGAGTTGTGATGCGGTTTTTGTTTTTAGAATATAATGCATTTTATAGCCGAAAAACTTGACGAAATGGGATTTCAAGTGGCTTCTCGTCGGAGAGAATTCTCGCCTCAAAAGTAGTTCTATCCGTAAGATAAATCAAAGTTATAGCCTGTCATGAGAGGAGGTACAGTGCAAGCCATTAAATATGGGATTTTGTATAATTTTGTGGCGTGGAAAATGGTCTGAAAATAGGAGATCGGTTCTTATGGAGAAGGTGTATGTTTTATCAATGAAAAATGCGAATTCCATGTAAAATAATATCTTAAATATATATATAATATATAAAATACCTTTAAAACTACGTTTGACCTAGGATATCATCTGTAAGAGAAGATGAAAATAGTTATTAAATTTAGAAATTATATTTGAGGGGAATTCCATAATCTGTAATTATAGATATTTTTTAAAATTTTAAATCCCTTTCAATCTTTGAAAAATAAGAACCTTCTAGACCACGAAATAGAGCTCGAATTTCGAAAAAAAAAACATTCCCCACCGAATGACATCATTCTTGAGTTCTCAATTAGCCCTTCTTCGAGCTCTATTATTCCATCGTCTTTCTTCGGTTTCTTTCTTCCCCCCCCATCCCCCTATACATAAATATGCCTTTATTCCCTTTTGGGCATTTGGCAAGGCAAAAGCCCACAGAATCTTTTCCGGAAAACCATCTAATCTTTTGCCGTTAACTCTTTGTCAACACTTGGGATTTTCTATTCTTTTTCTTTCTTTCTTATGAGTTTTTCCAGGCCTTAATTGTGCATGACAATTGTACATTTTGTTGGCTGTTTGGCTGTTGTGGGGCCCTCCTAATGTGGTTGATAATTTTATGCACATAATTGCCCATCCACTGAAACAGCAACAAAAACAAAAACAAAAAACAACATTTGCCAAACTACTGCCAGCCGCCACATCAAGTGGCAAAGAGGCAACCACCGAGTGGCAGTGACGACGGCAAGAGCCAGGGCAGAGCCATCGTGCCACTTTAATTGCTGACGGTTTGAAAACTTTATTTTTTCTGCCATTTTCTGTTGATTTTCCACCATCATTTTTTCGGTGTATTTTTTTGTTAATGTTGCAAACAATTAAATAGACAGAAAAATGACAGATACTGCCCCGCCCCTCACCGCAGATGATAGTTTTCCTCGTATCTAGCTCCAAGCTTACCTTTTACCTTTGGCCAAATCAGCCAATAAAATGGCCAAGAAATATACGACAATTATAAGCAAAAGACCGCAACGAAGCCCATGAAATACGAGAGTATTAGAGCCCAGGCGGCCGGCCATAAAGCAAACTCTAAAAATAAAAATCAAAAACCAGTAGTTGGAAACGTGACGCCATCAATTTCTGTGTCTTGTCTGTGCAGACGATCCCCGCCCCTCTCGGGCTCCAGCCCAGGTCCCATAGACCCTCAAAATCAAAGTTGGGGAACCCAAAAAAGAGCAAGCGTTTGGCCAAACTTCGAGCAAAACTGATTGCTTTTCTATTTTTTGTTGGTTGTTTGCTGTTTTGCCAGGGCCTTTGCCTTGAATTTGTTTGCGGAAAACATTGAATGAAGTTTAAAAATAAATAAATAAATTCAAGTGTATAATTTACTAAGCGAAACGGTCTGTGCTTTGCAGTAGATGCAATTTTTGTGAATCATATCTTATTGGTCGTGTTTTTGAACGAAAATTAATCTGTGGCAGAAATCTAAGACGTCTATTTTAAGTTGTAGTATTTTTTCTGTTTTTTTTTAAGTATATATATTTGGTATTTTTAGTATTTACTATTTATTTGTGTTTTTAGATTTTAATTCTTTTACGTTTAATTTTTTTAAAATATGCTACTAATTTTATTCTTTGTTATTTTCAATATTTTATAGTATTAACTATTTAAACAAGTTTTTAGATTTCTAGACATTTTTATAAATATTATTGTTTGGTATTTTTAGTATTTTCTAGGAAAATTACTATTTTTAGGAATTTGAGGAATTTTTGTTATTTTTATATTTTTTTTATTTTGTGTATTTTTATTTGGTATTTTCTAGTATTTACCATTTATACATGATTTTACATTTGAATACTTTTACTTTCAATTATCCCAAAAAAGTATTTAATAATTTTAAACCTTTTTTCGCTCTCGATTATCGGGTATTTCGTGTATTGTTGGCGACACGCGTTTGAAATTTGTGCTAACAGAACTTTCCATTTGGCATTTCATAAATATTGACTTTCTTTCTATTTGCTTTGACCCCTCCCTCCCTCCATGGCCCGCTCACACCTGGCTTTGTTTCTATTACCGTTTTTTCCATACGTTTTTTTTCTGTTAATATTTTGTTCGTGCTGTTTGTTCTATAATATATGTATGTACATTTATTATTGTTCATATATCGCACGCGGTGTATGTGGTGTATGCATTTCTTTTTGTATTCGTATTTGCCGTGTTCGCCGTTTTTCTGGGTTTTCTCTGTGTCTGCTCTCTCGGGGTTCGAGCTTTATATTTAACACATTTTCTGATATAGTATTTCGTATTTCTTTTGTCTTATTTGGATTCTATTTAATGCTGATGTCCACAGTTTCGACAGGTGTTGCAACCGTGAAATATAGTACACACATAAGATATGTAGAAAAAGTACTCTCTCGACTTCCCCTACTCTTTTGCACTCTGAATAAGTTATGCGATTTGTTGCTAGTTCTTTTCTCTGCAAAAAACAATCTCGAAAAATGAAAGGGTCTTTTGGGTAGCTGGAAGTTCAAGGAGATTTTCTGAAGTGTTCTTTAATTAGAGTTAAGGAAGAAATTTCCACTGCCACTGCAACAACAACACCTCTGTGCCTGTACACAAGCGGCGACACGTGCTTTACATGTAAAATTGACAAGGCGACGGGGCGGAAGAGGGGGTGGAGGCGCGAAGAGAGTGCAAAGTGCGGGAGAGAGAGCGAGCGAGAGCCATGAGGCTATGTGTGAAAATGCAATATGAAGAGCCACAGCCGGGGGGGCCAGAGGGAGATGGGCAAGGCAACAGAGTGTGAGAGAGAGAGAGAGCTACAGCTACTCTCGGTACTGCTACCTCGCAAACCGTGAAGCGACGGGGTGTATTGTTTTGGTGGGTTAAAATGTAACAATACGAAGTTTCCTTCTTTAAGGAGGCTTTAAGGCTTTAATTTATAGATATTTTGTGTATGAAATGGCCATGCAATTTAAACCGTATTTTAAGGCACATATTTTCGTGTTTATTTTTTCATAGTGGCATTACACCCAATATAAAAAACATTTAAAGGGCATCCCCAATGTCGTAATGGATAATTTCGCCTTCGTACTTGTTGTGTCTGCATTTATGGAATTTTTTATGAATGATGCAGCAGCAGCAGAGGCAGCGCAGCAGCAGAGGCAGCAGCAGCAGCGACAGAGAAGCTACAACAATTTGGCGTTGATGAAGTGCTGAAAGGCAGAACTGCAGTGGCTGTTGTTGTTGCGTCGTCAAGTCCTTCTTCGCAAGGTGTATTACATGTAAGGTAAGGCAGTAGGCACCCCAGACCAATCCCTACCCAACGGCCACACCTTCCCATTAAATATACCCTTCTACGTCCTACGTACCTCACCTTCTCACACCTCTCTCTCTTTCTCTCTTGCTCTCGCTCTCTGCGCATTTGTTTATGAATTAATAAAATTTTAATTATGTTGCACAAATAATTGCTCACTTGTGCAGAAAAGCATATGGGAGGCGCAAGGAGGACGGAGGACGGAGCATGGTAACCAGGCAAATAATAAGAAAAACAAATGGGGAAAATGGAATATGGTAAACAAAACGATAACGGTAAATAGGAAATGCCCATAAAACCAGGTCCACAAAGTGCATTTTCATGAATAATTGATGCGAAATGTGTGGAGTGGAATGGAACGGAATGGAATGTGCTACCTGCATGGATAATTGGCATCTATTTTTTTAGGTTTTAATTTTTGTATATGCATATTTATGGAATTGAATTAAAAGTTTTTCTGGGGCTTTGGCGCATTAAAAAATTACTACATTTAAAGGCTTAAAGCATAAAAAATAAAGAAAAGATCCACATTTTTCCAATCCAAAATAATCCCAAAAGGCGCCTTAACTTCACCAAACAAATTTGGCCACACAAAATGTGGAAGAACCTTCAACTCTGAAAAAACAAAAAAACTGTCAAATGCAAAACCATGAAAATTCTGCGAACCGAAGGCATCAGGTGACTGACTGACGGAATGACTTCTCCCAAAAACACCCAAACACACACCAAGCCACATTATCCATCCATCCAACCATCCATCCATCCATATACTCGTACTCGTACAAGTAGATACTTTTTCAAACCAATTTTTCTAAATGTTCTCACACAAAAAAGCCGTCCGCAAAATTATGTACAATGTCTTCAAATTACACGAGTCTTATCATTTATTAAAATTCAGGGGAATTTATTAAGTGAGAGAGCGAGAGAGAGAGAGAGAGAGCGCCTCCCGGTGGGGCGATGGGACAAAAGTCCCCCATAATATAATGTACATATTTAAATATATCGAATTTCCTCGAGTAAATATACAAACGAAAGCAAAAGCTAAACAGGAGGAAGGGCGGAGAGGAAAGAGGAACCAAACCATATAAGAAACTATTTTGTACCTAATGCCGTCGTGCCGAGAGGTTAAAGACATGCCACAAAAAACACACACAAAAAGCAAAAACCATAACAACGGACAAAGACACGAAAAAAAGGAAGGCTTCCTTTTCAGGGGGGGGGGACGAAGTACTAGATGCCCTGATGCCAATGTTCCACAGGGCAGCATTTGTGGAATGGAACATTGATGCGCTGTATAAATTTCCCATAGGTGAAGGGACACGTTTTACGGCTGAAAATAACACAGGAAACCATACTTTTGATGAGTTTTAGTTTAAATATATTAATAAATACATCTGTTCAATGGTTGGTTCCTATGAAAGCTATAGTTTGTAGTGCTCTGGTCACAAGGGTTCCAATTTGCTGGAAGTGGGTTTACAAACCCTTCATCAAAATCACCACACCCGCTCTATCGGTGAGAGTATCAAGGGTATTCCTGGTAAAGCTCGAATCCTGTTTACTTCCTTTTTTGAGCTCAAAAGCTACCTAAGCAACGCCGCAACAGAACAGCAGACAGCAGAAGACAGAGCCACTAAATCTTCTATAGGCACAAGTTTTAGGAGATTCTTTTTTTGGGCAGCAGCAGCATCTCATGGATGGATGTGGGTATGTATCTGTGTATCTGTGCATCTGTGCATCTGTGTGTGATGTTATGTATATCTTTTTTTCATATATCGTCTTGGTCGCTGATTTATTATTTACTTTATAAAAAATGTTCTCCTCCAAATCAAGTTTTGGGCGGGAGGATTGAGATATAGGGATGAGCGCAGCAGGAGAAGCGGGGTATCAAAATTTTGCTTAATTTGTGTCTGCCCCAAGGAGTGCCGGTGGAGGGGGCACCACAGCTTCTATCCATTAGACGGGAGGGCAGGGGAGGAGAAGCCGCTTCGACCGCTTCACGGAAATCTTGTTAAATTTCGCTTGATTGAATTTGCCTTGCATTTTGCGTCCCGAGCGGCGTTTCTTTCTTCAAATCTTCCTTCTTTCACATTTTTTATTCATTTTTATTTGTATATATCTTATATGCTTTAAATATTCTTGTATTTTGTCAATTTTTGACCACACACGACACGAAATTGATCGAAAAGAGTGAAATGTTTCTCATGTAACATGGAAATTGAAATGGAAATTATTTTTTGTATCAATTTTTCTATATACTGAACTCCTTTTTTTTTCTTTGTGTACAACTTCCTCTCAATGTCCCTCTCTCTTTCTATTTATTTACCTCTTTAACCACAGAATTTATGGCAAGGAAATGAAATGCAGACAAGAAAAGGAAGTTGTCTGAAGGAAATCGAATTTGAGATTCCCTAACACGGGATTTCCAGCTTTGGAAGCAAGGAATGGAACATGTGCAAGCTTGGAAGGTGGGAATAGAATAGGGATTCAACTAAAATTCATTTGAAACGTATTTGAATACTGAAAGCTTCGGGGAATCATATTTCTAATCCACTATTACCTCTCTTATCCGCCTCTCAAGTGGTATTCCTCAAGATACTGCCGTTTAGCCCACATTTCGAGAAGAGAAGCAAAAGCAAAAGCGTGTTAGCAGTTCTCAGAGGAAGCTGTGGCAGCAAAAGATGCTTGTTGCAGCAGGGCAGTAGCAGTGGCAATGGCAGTTGCTACCTGGGTGGAGTTCCATTGAAACCACTGGCGGTAATGGTAACGGGAGGAAAAACCGCAGAAAATTGCTATACATCTGCGAAGGAAAAGCCAGTGTTAAAGCATAAGCCATCGTGTAGATGAAAACTGGCTTTTTCCACACAATGAGATTTATTTATCGTGATTGTGCGCTTAATTGAAAATTGTTTGCGACTCAACAGAGAGAGAGAAGGAGGGCGAGAGAGAGGGAGAGCGCAACAGGAGGCAACGAGACGACTCCTGGCTTCCGTTCTGCGGGGCCATATATCACCGTGAACCCATCTTGGGTCTCCATCCTGACTAACGGTATTCCTAACACACATCTATTGACATACATTTTAGGGACCGACTGTACTTGGCTCGTCTCCTCCTCGTCTTTGGCCCCCAAAAACAATTTGTCAACGACATGAGGCAATGATATAGCAGGAAAATACCAAGAAAAACTGTAGCCACTGTTCCGAGGGTAAATGAAAATGTCAGCAGCATCGGGCTTCAACAACGGCAACAACATCCCAATAGTTAAGTGGATACCGAGAGAGAGAGAGAGAGGGCGCCTCCTCGTGGCAGGAATGGAATCCATCAACCGCCCATGGAGTCATCGCATTGGCATCCAACTGGCAGCAGGCGAAACCAACGAAACCTTTTCAATCACATTATCCGACGGAATGCGACCCCAACAGAGCTGCTGGATATTATGGTATGGTATATGGCCTCTAACTAGCCTCGAGGGGGGGTCGTACTTAGCAGCTCTTTTCAAATAAAGGAGAACTCTTTTTCGCTAGGAGAAACATGTTGGCGAGTGCATGTTTCATTGGCCAATTTAAAAGGGAAAACACAGCCGAATTTAAAGTATAAATCTCAGAAAAGAAGAAAGAATATGTTAATATTAAGCTGAGGATCATATGGTGGAATGTATCCGTTCACTTAGGGAACATTTTAGCACCGAATCAACATCACTCGCTGCAATTGACGAATGTGGAACAGTGGAAGCTAGTGGAACAGGGATATAAGGGAGCTTCTTCTGTTCTGCTTCTCTGGGAAAAGTTTTTCTCAACTTAAATCTGGAATTTCCCACTCCTCCCATTCGTAAATCCCCCAAAACCACCAACATGTGATTGGAATACAAAACTAACATGTATTTTTCAGTTACCGCAATGCGAATCACCGTCAGCGACAGCCGCCCACACGCATGTCCCTATAGAGATCCGTACAGCCCTGTAATCCTCCCGCATTATTTCGTTCTGTGGCACACGCTCCACGCTCCACGCGGCGGGTGGTCTCGGTCGGAAAATTCCATCAGCTACAAGAATAGAAAGTACTTTACAGGATAAGCGCCCCGTGGCATCCTTGACAAGCCCCCGCTCTGTATCATCCGCTCTGCCCCCCCGTTGTTGTTGAATGTTGTATTTGTGGCATACATATTGCACCATCCAATCCACAGCCTTATTCCTCCCCCCCACATAGGGATTCCTATCGTATTCGTATTCGTATTGTTTCTCTGTTTTGGACTTGTTGCACGGTCTGCAGTTGAAATCAATTTGCAACTCCTTCCACTCGAAATTTCACACAATTAGAGCCAAGAAATCAGGTTGATGGGGCAAGCAGGCCATTAACGGAATCCTACGCATAAACAGCGGCCAGGAAAATACACCGATTTTATGGGCGAGGGCGTGCCCCAAGATGGTAGTTGAAGGGAGAGCCGTAAAAATCGAAAGAACCCAGAGACCAGAGGCCAAGACGAAGGAGCCCTCTCTGCACAGTGGTTCGGGGACTGTTCAATGGAGAACTGAAAACAGATAGAATATAGTGGGAAGGAAGGGCCTGAAAGTACGTCATGATTAACTCTTTTCAAATCACATTTCATTCGCTTATCTACAGCGCCTGTCACACTGTATCTCTCCCCCGAATGAGCAATGAACAGTGTGAATTTTATGAGCTCTCTGAACGTTAAATGGTTCCCCAATTTAATGACGAATGCAACACGTCGAAGAGGAACCCTCAAGGAGAAGCATTCCCCGTTAAAAAAAAAGCGTAAATGAAGCCACGAATATTCATACTTTTCCGGTTTTCACATTTCCACTAGGATTCGCTCTGCACACCCGTTCCTTTGGAGAGTGTCGTCTGCCTTCTGCTTGCGTTAATTACTTAATTTTAATGGCCTTTATTATGCCACAAGAACAAATACCTCCTCTCCTCTCCCGCACACATGAGTGTGCCGCACGGAGATTGGAAAGTGTAAAACGCTTCCATTTACAAGCTCATAAACAGAGTCGCTGCTGCATCGTTGTGGGCCATTAAAAAACAGTCAACAAAACTCAAGTTCTCGCTTGAAGAGTAAGGGCAAGGGCTAAGAATGTACTAAGAAAATATTAAGGCAGAGATCCGGGGAGAATTCCTTAAGAAGAATGCGCTTCAAGAGCTTAATTTCATTATTCTGTGATGCTCTTAACATTCTGCTCAGATTCGTCATAATCCATGTAAAGTTTACAGAGCAGAGTAACCGATTTGCACATGAGCTTTTGTCGATCGCCCTTCCCGTACTTGCTCGTAATTCCTCTCTGAGAGAGTTTTGCCTGTTCCTCATATCAATGTCTTCAAGTTTTCACTGTAAAACCAAGGTACATTTTTTCAAGGTAACACAGCGCTCTTACGATCGGGGTCTATTTTGTTTTTCCTCTCTCAAAGAAAATACTCAAATAGAATTCTACTGAAATAAATGACTAAGAAATCAATATGAAGCTCCTATCTTCTATCGTTTTACCAAGCGTGAGCCGGCAATACAGCACCACCTCTCCCCCTGTATAAATTACACCTTGAGCACAACTGCTTAATTTACAAAAGAGCGAGAGCGACAGAGTATCATTTACTGTAATTCTCGCCTTTTGCTTGTACGAAACTGATAAGAATTCCAAATGCGCTGCCAATTGGCAGACCCTGCCAAACCCCCAAAATCACTATAAAACTCACCTTTTAGTGTATTCAAAAAAAAACAAAAACCCTCCTCCACCAAATAACGCTTTTGTTTTGGGGAGGTGTTTTTAGGGTCTTTGCCGAAAGCCGTCTTGTGATTACACACACACACCACTATACAAATGCATGATTGTATGTATGTTCCACTTGTTGCCAACTGCGCGTTTTGTTGCTGGAATCTCGAGTGTCCATGCGTGTGTGTGTGTGTGAATGCGTGCGTCTGTGAAGTGGTTTTTTTTGTTTATAACGGCGTCTGCCAGTGCAACAAATAAACAAAAGACGAAGGCGACGACAGCAAACGGCGACAGAGCGACGACGTCAACGCAGGTGTCGCAGACGTGTGACGTATCGAGGGGGAGCGGCGGGGGCCGCGAAATATTACAGCGCGACAAACATGACGTGAAACACAAGAGAGGGGGCAAAGGAAAGGCGCGTACGAACACTGAAGCAGCGACAGAGAAACACACTCACGCACAAAAACGCAAGAACCGTAAGAAACAGCTTAACGTAATAAACATTTGCAATTGTTTAACAGAACAATTGAACGATAGAATACACTTTCCCGGTGTTCAATTCAAGCACAAAATGTCGAGAAACTAACACAGAACCGAAGGGGGATTAATTATGCACGAGGCATTGTTTTATTAAACACAAAATTAATAAATTAAATTTTGTTGGAGCGCGTTGGAATATAAAATATACGGTCTGACGCTCTGAAATATACCAAAACATACCGTCTCATTTTCAAAATATACCGTAAATATACTGACGAATTTGTATTCATTGTTCCATTGTATTCCTCGCTATTTATCTTCAGTTGCTTATAACTAGTTAGCTAGGACCCTCAGTTCGCAATAAATAATTTTATCCTATTGACTAATCACTTTCTACAAGATTGGCTAACTTATAGCTCTCATTTATATTGAATTGTTTATAAAATAAGGCTTACCAAAAAAGTCAGCAACAATTATATTATTATTTTTACATGGCAACTACACACTGACTGCATTTTTCCTACATATTAACTACATTTTTGTGATCGTTTGTTTACAAGTTTGGCCTTTTTTTTCGTATAAGCCCCATGGAAGCGCCAGTGTGAAAACCTTCGCTATCCACTTTTTGACATGAATTTTTCCCGAAATGGCATTTCTACACTATTTCTACATTGGTGCCTTGGACAAGAGGGTTAGTTAATCTTAAAAAATACTCGAAATTACTATGAAAAGTGTGTGTGAGCTAGATATGGTGGTAAGAAACCCTCTCATTTTCGAAATATACAGATAAAGAAACGACCTTAGTCCTTAGATTTTATCTTTCATCTTTAATTAACAGAACGCCCACGATATCTTTCACCTGAACAGCGCTAAAATTCTTCATATACATTTCTGGTGTAACATTCAGTTAACAGTAACAGTAACAGTTAACAGTACAGAAACAGCTGTTTGCTGACGGCATGTAACAACACTGCCCCACACGTTCCACGCCGAAAATCTACATTTTACTGCCATTGGTGGCTGAATTTTTCGCTGGCTGGAGATTTTGGTACGTAGCAGCTGGATTTAAACTGAATCATCGAATACGCCTGGCTGGAGTCCACTATGAGCGCCAGCGAAGAGTTCCAGGGCTGGCTCAACGAGCAGCTGCGCCAGCTCAACACAGACGAGGGGGTCTTTGGCTCGTACATTGTGGGCATACTCGAAGGCGAGGAGTCGGACGAGGAGAAGGCTGAGGGTCTCGAGGGAATCCTCAGCGAAACCGGGGTGAGTTCTTTCCATTTGCCATGAATTCAAGCCTGCTAATTGCTAATTGCATTATTCCCTCGTCCCCCAAAAGTCTGCCAACATTGACGATCTGGTGGCCACCATAATGCAAAAATGGCTCCACAGCCATCCCAGCACCGACGAGCCGCCCAAGAAGGGCCTGGACATTGATGTGAACGCTCAGCTGGCCAAGCTGCTGGCCCAACAGAAGCTGCAGCAACCCGCCGCCAAAGAGCGCGAATACACCGAAGAGGAGCGACGCATCAAGAAGCAGATTCTGGCGCAGTATTCAGAGGTTTTCGCCATCGAATCGAAGCCATGCCATAAGCAAGTCCTTAACCTGTGCTTTGCATTTCAGACTGCCGTTCCTGGGGATGACGATGAGCAGTCGGAGCCGGAGAGCGATGATGACAGCGGCGGTGTGGCCCGCAACACAAACAAGTCCGATGTTCAGGCTCTGGCCAAGGAGAAGCGGGAGCAGGCGCGCCTGGACAGTGCGGCCAAGAAGCTCAAAGACAAGGAGGATCGCGAGAAACAGAAACAGCTGCGCGAGGAGAAAAAGGAGAAGCGCAAGACCGTCAAGGGAGAGCGCCGTCGGTAGCCCGCCACAATCCGATCCCCGAAATCATAGTTCTGTGCAAATTGCCAATGCAGCAGCAGCTCCCCCCACACCGAGAGAGAGAAAGAGAGAGGGCAGCAGGAGTCTCCTCTAGATACTACACATATATCTGTACATTATATATACACTAACCGACTTTGACATTGTATTGCAATTGAAACGCCAAAGTTTTGAATGGATATTTTTAAAATGTCTTTCTTTTTGGGTTTTCTTCAATTAATTTACTAAATTAAATTAAAAGTTGTCTCAAAGTAGCAGCCAGATGCTTGGGAATTCTCGATCTCTAATGCTAACTTGGCCAACTATTTACGATTAATCTCGGCTAAGAATCTCAAATGTTCTCTCGCTGTATATACTGCATAGTAGGATTATTTGTTTGATTTATGGATCTGTTTCATCGGTATGATCTTGGCCTTCGTCCTCGGCTTCCTCCTCCTCGTCGAGGGCTTCGTCTTCCTCCTCGTCCTCCTCCAGATCTGGCACTGGCTCTGACTCTGGCTCCAGCTCGGGGTCCTCGGGATTTCCTTCATCTTCTTCGTCGTCGTCATCAGCACCAGGTGCAGCAGCCTCCTCATCCGGGTCCTCCTTATCCTGCTCCTCGAGCAACTCCTGGGATACCTTCATAATGCCCTCCAGATCGTGCAGCTTGAACCGTCGATTGTTGGGGTCCAAGCAGTTGGCCTTCACCTCCAAGTAGTCACCAATTTGCTGCTCATCCCAGCTGGAATACTGCACAGGCATGAGAAATGCAAGAGATTACATCGTATCCGTATGGATAGTCCGCAGAGACTTACCACCGAGCTGGAAGTGAAGAGCAGCTGCTCCTCGCCGGGCTCCGACTTTACTCTGAGAAACTTCTGCAGGAGACTCGCCTGCACATCCTTGCGCCACAGGCAGAGGCGAGTGTTCTTCATCCAGTCCTTGTCGAGGAGGTCCGCCTTCTTCATCAGCAGATCCACCTGGTGGAGCTTCACGAACTGCTTCTTCGGGGGCAGACTCTGCGGCCGCTTCGAGGTGCTGGCCAGTGGATACTCAAAGTCCTCGTCGCTGGGATCCGTTTCTAGGTCATCGTCATCGTCGTCGTCGGATTCGTCGTCGCTGTCCACCTTCGAGTGGCGACGCTTGGCCTTGGCGGCCGTTCCAGCAGCCTTTCTCTTGCGACCGCCCTCACCGCCGCCTGGTCCCCCGCTTGCACCTGCAGCTCCACCTGCCCCCGAACCTCCAGCAATGGCTACGCCGATACGTGGCTGCTTTGGTGGCCGCTTCTTGGTGGGCCGCCAGTCCTCCTCCGAGTCGGAATCGTCGTCTGGACTGTAGTCCTCCTCTTCGTCGCTCTCCACAAATGTGGTGGTCACCAGCTCGGTGCGACTTCGCATTCTTTAGCGCCCACTGCGGATTTTCTCTATCCCCTGATTTCTGATTCTGATTCTGTTTCTGATGCTGTTGCTGTTGCTCCTGTTGCCGAGGTCGAGGTTTTGAGGTTTTTAGCTCTCCTAAGGCGGTCCTGCGCTCCTGCTGCTGCTGCTGCTGCTGCTGTTGCAGCCACTTGTGCTGCTGAATGCGTCCCAAAGCTGAATGAAAATTTTATTGTTGACTCCGAAAAGCTAATTTCCACACACACACACACACATCTATTGGGGGCGCTCTCTCCCACACGGAGTCGTGTCGCTCTCTCCTTGGATTCCTTGGTGTATCCTTTGGGGGTGCTTTTGATTTCGCGCTTTCGCATTCTCAATCCGTTTTCTGTCTCTCTCTCTAACAGTGTGCTTTTCCCGCGTTCGCAGGGTTGCATCTCGCGAGGTACAGGGTTGAATTTTACTAAATAATTCGTTCCTTTTGACTTTCTTTGAACAAATTTAATGATTAGTAGCTAATTTTTTTGTGAATTAATGCCACCAAAGAACTACCGTCTAACATGGCACCAGACATGGCCAAAACTTCAGCTTTGGGTCGCTATATCTTCAGGTATATCCAAGAATCCAAAACCTTGTGAAAGGTCGTACATCTCTCTTTTAAATTCATTCATTTTGTTGTGGATATCTGCTCTATAGAGGCCGATACAAGTTAAAAAAGTAACCAAATAGCGGTTTTTAAATTTTTAAAACGATTTTGGGGGTATTATTGCAAATTTTAAGTATGTATGCATTAGGAAGTGATCTATTCATCCAGGCCAGCATTGTAATATTTGCCTCGTGAAAAGTACAAAATGTTTATTATTTTATGATCCACCTGGATCACACTCCACAAGTAAGTTCAACAGTAATTGTATTCTATTTTTATTATTACAATTCCTTTGTCATCCGATTGCTCCATTAGCAGGGGCACATTTAAAACGGAGACGTAACAAAAACAAGCGATTATGGTTTCTGATTTGTTTTAGAATATATATTTTATTTAAACATTTACGTAAAGCTGGACATTGGAGCACACATACACTAAGAGTCTACTTATTTAATATCTACTATCTTCGTTGACGTATTCTCTATGCAAATTTCTAATTTCATTTACTCATGACTGGTTTCGTCTACATCTACTCCACAAGTGCTTATCTATCATCTATTCGGAATGGTCTTCATCTCAGTCATCATCCATCCCTTAGACCTGCAAACGCTATACACGCGTCGGTGTCCCATAGATGGATCCAGCTCCGAGTCCGCTACCGGGATTATTCCGCCTCTGGGCGAGCGGCGAGGCTGGCTGGACGGCCGACGGTCCGTTGTTGTTGTTCAGCAGGCGACGCTGCTGACTGTCCGAGTAGGCGCGCTCTACAATTATATATTTGTATATATACATATACATATACCGATATATCTCCCGATCTTGTCTCATGCACTAAGGAGGGAGTCTTTCGTGTTTTCTGTGTGTGTAAAGCATGCACTTTTTCTTACATTTTTTTTCTCTTGGTTTACCACATATTTTCCGTTTCTTCTTTAAATTGTTAACATGCAAAAAGGAAAATTACAAAAAAAAAATAATATAAATATATATTCGATAAGACTGGAGTTGAATATGGTGCTGGGCTGGGGGTTATCTGCGTTAAATGAATAAAAGTTCGATGATTTGTTTTACTCGCTGTTTGTCTGTCCCACGACTTAGTCCCGGCTGTGGCTCCGATACTGCGACCGTGGGGCATTGCTGTATGACGCGCGACACATTTAACCGAAATTTTATAAAAATTTTCTTGAAGACTCGCAGATTGTCAACCTTTGTAGGTCGAATGTTAGTTGGCTTGAGCGAAATTTTGTAAATTATTGTAAAAACGAGTTGGCGCCGAGGTGCACTGCCGTATGACGCGTAACACGAAACCGAAATGTTTAGAGAGGTCTAAACGGAATTTCGGATGATTGGCCGTTCTTTTTTATATTTTATAGTAAGGAAAAAATAAAAATCAGTGCCGAGGGGCACTGCCACATAACATGCGCGACACGTATACCAGAGAGGAGAGAATAAATGCTTCCTATTCCAACTAATATGCCCAGAAACGTAACGAAATGCTTAATGGAATGATGTGTGTTCCGTGTTTTGTAATGCTTAAGATGTCAAATCATAACCAAAGTGGAAAGCATGCCAGATGAGATGGGGAGTTATGAGAGGAGTGCAATCAGAGCCATGTGGCGATGGGGAAACCGATGCACCTACCTCGAAACTTCAGGCCCTGCGCCTCGTTGATGATGGCCGCCAAGGCCGGGTGCTGGTATCGTTCCCGGAATATGGCCGAGCCATTGGTGTTTCCATTCAACGCAGCACCATTTCCATTGCCATTGCCGTGGAGGTGCTGCTGCTGATGTTGCATCATCAGAAGCTTATGCTGCGGCGTATGCTGGGGCGTTAGGGATGTGGGGGGTGTGGCATTGCCGTTTTTGTAGTAACGATTCTGGTTGGGATCGTAGGAGGCCTGCTGCTGCAGCTGCTGTTGGGGCTGCAGCTGCTGTTCGTGGTTCTGGTTCAAGCGATTGGCCATCTTGATGGAGGCGCAGCGCTCCTCCTCGTTGTTGCGCATCTTCAGGATGCGCTGGTCCTGCACGGAGTACCGCGATCCGTTCAGGGCATTCAGCTGGTTGAGATTGCTGACCTGGCTGCTCAGCTTCTTGCCCCGAAAGCTGCCTGCGGGCGAGCCATTGTTCAGCAGAGTGCCGCGCGAGGAGCTGCCGTTCGTCTCGGTGCTGTCGCGAGACGCCTCGCGGTAGCTGGACGGACGATGCGTGGACGGTGGCGTATCCAAGCCGCTGTCATGGGCCGAGCAGTCCAGTTCGATTTTGCTGGGGGCACAGCCTCCTCCACCCGTGGGCAGCATGGGTTGAACTAAAAACAGACCAAGGATTAGTTGGTTTCTTTCTCCAATGTCGAGAGAGACTCACCTGAGTGCCGCATGTCGGTGGGCGCTCGGGGCTTGCGGTACAGCCAGTCCCTGTCCAGCTCGTTGCCGTTGTCCGGAGTGGCGCTCACGCCGCGGAAGAGCCTGGGACGTCGGAGTTGGACCTCCGCCTCTTCGGTCTCCTCGTCGACCACCTGATTGCTGCCGAAGCTGCTGTTGATGAAGATGCGCCTGGGCGACCCGTACAGGGCTCCACCCTGCGTGAAGCTGTTCTGGGCGGAGGCATAGCCGTTGGAGTAGCGGCTGAGATTCGCATTGCTGTGATGGGGGATCTTCTGGGGCGTCGAGTGGTTCGTGCTGATGCCGCTCAAGTGGTGGTTGTGGTTCTCGTTGTTCAAGGCGCTCAGATCCGGCACCGAATCGGAGAAGAGGAAGGGATTGGCGCCGCCATAGCCGTTCAGGCTGCCGGCTCCGATCTTGTGGCGTGCCAGGCCGCCGCCCGTTCCGTTCGTCATCAGCCAGTCGTCCAGGGCACTCGAGTAGGTGCCTCCCAGGCCAAAGTGCTGGAACTGCAGCGAGGCATGCGACACGGGGGCAGCCAGAGAGGCTCTCGACCGCGGTCCCTGGGCAATCTTCAAAGCTCGTCGTCGCTCCTTGGAGGTCATAGTGCATTCCTATAATGTGTTTTAGCAGTAGTTGTTTAAATCGGACTTGTGTTTTATTCAGAGTCTACATACCTCCAAAAGCTCGAACCAGTCTTCGAGGCCATCGTCGCAGCGCAAGAGCACCCGACCCTCGCGTCCCAGCAACAGTCCAATGGCGCTATACGAGCGCCGATTCAGCCACTCCACCTTCTCGACATCCACCAGCTTGACCTGAGGAAAAACGCCACAGAAGAACAATGCAAATCGTTAGATAAACAAGTTAAAGGTTAAAACTAAAAACCAAAAGAGTTGTTCGGCTTGCCCTCCCCTCAGTGGGGGTCTGGGAGAATGCATTTTTCAATGGAATTACTCGTAGGGGTGTGAATGGGGTCTCTGGGGGTTTAAAACAGAAAACTGATTTCTGATAGGAACACATGTTGATATTTCAAAGAGTTGAGAAAAGACTTTGGCTATAGAATATGTATATGAAGAGTGAGCGAGAAAAAAAAACCGAAATTTTTTAAAAAAGGCGATCAATCTTGGGTTAGATTGGAATGTATGGATTTTCTCACGCAGAGCTATAGTTTCCCAAGTTCCCAGTCCCCTCTTCCAGTGTGGCTTAGCAGTAGGACTATTTTAATCCTAAACAACTTTATGAAATCTACAGAATTCATCTTAAAAATTCATTCTTTAGAGAAGCAAAGCAAACTTCTGTATTTTCTAGCACAAAACTTTTCCGCTCTCCAAACACTTTCCCATTTTCCCCACTATATATATGTACATCCATATTAGAACCCTAGTATAAATTGCAGCTCAATTATTTGTAGGAACAAGAACTTTATGCCCTAACAACTTTTACGCCCAACAATGCAACAATTAAGTGTCGCTCTCTTTTCTTTTTTTTTGCATTTTGAAACTCGGTTAAAAGTCATTAGGCCATGAGGCCTGCTGTCCCTCTCCCATTGGGAACAACTTTTTTAACATGTAGAACTTTTTATTGAACTTATTTTTATGTTTTTTATGAGTTAAACTTTAAGTTTGCCACTGATTCTCCCCTTCTCGATGTTCTACCGAGTATTATGGCCAAGAACTATGCGGAGGCCATTAGGCAAATATGTCAGCAGCACCAGAAGCCGCATCTGAGGCAGCACCAGCAAAAGCACCAGCAGCGTGTGGCAATTAGCCAAGTTATGCGGCCTCTCTTCTCTTCCTTTCAGTATTTCTTTGCTTCTTTCTCATTTTCTCTCCTCTTCTAATGGCCAGCATAATTAAGTTCTTTAAGCACTATAGAAGGGGGGTGTTCTGTCGGGGGTCTGGCCACTTTTTATGATGGAATATGGCATCAAGTTGGGGCCAAAACGATTGCTCTTACGAGTGATTCGTGGGATTTGTTCACGTCACGATCAAAAGGCACCGAAATGGGAGCTCCCGTTGGGGAGTAATATTCCAAAAATCTGGCGTGGGCGAAGACAGCCAAGAAATACATCAAATTGTAATATTTATGATATTCTAAAAATTACAGCAACTTTCGATGGGGAGGAGAGAACGATAAAAATAGACTTGAAGACACGAAAATTAAAGACTGAAAATTGAGGGAAATAA